GGACAGATACGCTGGACCGGAACTGTACAGGGTTTTGTAGGTCAAAACCAGCACCTTGAATTGGGCTCGGAACTGAACCGTCAGCCAGTGGAGGTGACACAGCAGAGGGGTGGTATGCTCTCTGTATGTTGCTCCAGTGAGCAGCCTGGCTGCTGCTTGCTGGACCAGTTGAAGTTTCCGAACCGTCTTCAAGGGCAACCCCACGTAGAGTGCGTTGCAGTAGTCTATCCGGGATGTGACAACAGCGTGGACCACTGTGGCCAGATCAGACTTCCCAAGATACGGGCGCAGCTGGTGCACAAGTTTGCATTTAAGACTCTGTATCGCTCATTGAACTTCTTTATTTCTCTGTTTTGATTTTGCTTTTTCCCAATAAACTACAAAACCTGCCATCTTGGTGGCTGTCTTGGGCAAGGTGAATCTATCCTGAGTTGCGACACCAGAACCTCCAACTCCTATAAATCATGGTGAATTCCCCTGTATGCTGGCATATACTTGACTATACGTATATGTGAACAGGATTTTTTGTATGATCGGTGTATACTTTGTTTACAAGGAAATGCTGCATTGTGTGACAGTTCTCCCTTCCTCTTCTCTCCTGATTAGTCTTCAATACGCTTGTCTCCTTCTGTGTTCGCGATCTGTTTGGTCTGCTGCAGAAGTACCTCCAGGTGAAAGCGGCCAAGAACAAGGCCAAGTGAGTCCTCCCCATTTCAGGAATTCATGTTACAAATCTTTAATCGGGTTTGTGTATTGTCCATTCTGGATGTTTGAAGCTCTGGCAAGAGTTTTCCATTGAGAGGGACACGTTTAAGTCCATCATGGCCACAACCCTGTGTATAAATGCATGGCATAGCGGACTCAGCTATTACCATATATACGTGAGTATAAGCCGACCCGAATACAAGCCGAGGCATTTAATTTGACCATAAAAATCTGGGAAAATGTATTGACTCAAGTATAAGCCGAGGGTTATATTTACTCTATTTATTATTGTTATTATATATATTTATTATTTTACCCCTATTATTACACGTATTATTTTACTCTATTTAATATTGTTGTTATATTTATTATTTTACTCTATTATTATTACGTTTAGTATTTTACTCTATTTATTATTGTTATTATATTTATTATTTTACTCTATTATTATTATTATTACATTTAGCATTTTACTCTGTTTATTATTGTTATTATATTTATTATTTTACTCCTGTTATTACATCTATTATTTTACTCTATTTAATAATTTTATATTTATTATTTTACTCTATAATTATCATTATTATCATTATTTAGTACTTTACTTTATTTATTATTGTTATTATATATATTTATTATTTTATTCCTATTATTACATTTACTCTATTTAATATTGTTGTTATATTTATTATTTTACTCCTATTATTACATTTATCATTTTACTTTATTATTATTGTTATTACATTTATTACTTTATTATTATTGTTATTATTACATTTAGTACTTTATTTATTATTGTTATTATATATATTTATTATTTTACTCTATTATTACATGTAATATTTTACTCTTTAATATTGTTATATTTATTCTTTTACTCTATATTATTATTATTATTATTACATTTAGTACTTTATTTATTATTGTTATTATATATATTTATTATTTTATTATTATTACATTTAGTATTTTACTGTTTATTATTGTTATTATATTTATTATTTTACTCCTATTGTTACATGTATTATTTTATTCTATTTAATATTGTTATATTTATTATTTTACTTTATTATTATTATTAGTACATGTATTATTTTACTCTATTTAATATTGTTATTATATTTATTAGTTTACTCTATTATTATTGTTATTACATTTAGTATTTTATTGTTTATTGTTATTATATTTATTATTTTACTCCTATTATTACATGTATTATTTTACTCTATTTAATATTGTTATATTTATTATTTTACTCTATTATTATTATTACATTTAGTATTTTACTCTATTTAATATTGTTATTATATTTATTAGTTTACTCCTATTATTACATTTATTATTTTACTCTTTAATATTTTATATTTATTCTTTTACTCTATTATTATTATTACATTTAGTATTTTACTCTATTTATTATTGTTATTATATATATTTATTATTTTACTCCTATTGTTACATTTATTATTTTACTCTATTTAATATTGTTATATTTATTATTTTACTCTATTATTATTATTACATTTAGTATTTTACTCTATTTAATATTGTTATTATATTTATTAGTTTACTCCTATTATTACATTTATTATTTTACTCTGTTTAATATTGTTACATTTATTATTTTACTCTATTATTATTATTACATTTAGTATTTTACTCTAATATTGTTGTTATATTTATTATTTCACTCCTATTATTATTATTACATTTAGTATTTTACTCTATTTAATATTGTTATATTTATTATTTTACTGTATTATTATCATTATTACATTTAGTACTTTACTCTATTTATTATTATTATTATATATAGTTATTATTTTACTCCTATTATCACATGTATTATTTTACTCTATTTAATATTTATTATTTTACTCTATTATTATTATTATTATTATTATTATTACATTTAGTACTTTATTTATTATTGTTATGACATATATTTATTAATTTACTCCTATTGTTACATTTATTATTTTACTCTATTTATTATTATTATTATATTTATTATTTTACTCCATTATTATTATTATTACATTTAGTATTTTACTCTATTTATTATTGTTATATATATATATAATTTTACTCCTATTATTACATGTATTATTTTACTCTATTTAATATTTTTGTTATATTTATTACTTTATTATTATTATTACATTTAGTATTTTGCTCTATTTATTATTGTTATTATATATATTTATTAATTTACTCCTATTGTTACATTTATTATTTTACTCTATTTATTATTATTATTATATTTATTATTTTACTCCATTATTATTATTATTACATTTAGTATTTTACTCTATTTATTATTGTTATTATATATATATATATATATATATATATATATATATATAATTTTACTCCTATTATTACATGTATTTACTCTATTTAATATTTTTGTTATATTTATTACTTTATTATTATTATTACATTTAGTATTTTGCTCTATTTATTATTGTTATTATATATATTTATTAGTTTACTGCTATTATTACATTTATTATTTTACTCTATTTATTATTATTATTATATTTATTATTTTACTCCATTATTATTATTATTACATTTAGTATTTTACTCTATTTATTATTGTTTTATATATATATATATATATATAATTTTACTCCTATTATTACATGTATTATTTTACTCTATTTAATATTTTTGTTATATTTATTACTTTATTATTATTATTACATTTAGTATTTTGCTCTATTTATTATTGTTATTATATATATTTATTAGTTTACTCCTATTATTACATTTATTATTTTACTCTATTTAATATTATATTTATTATTTTACTCCATTATTATTATTATTACATTTAGTATTTTACTCTATTTATTATTGTTATATATATATATAATTTTACTCCTATTATTACATGTATTATTTTACTCTATTTAATATTTTTGTTATATTTATTACTTTATTATTATTATTACATTTAGTATTTTGCTCTATTTATTATTGTTATTATATATATTTATTAGTTTACTCCTATTATTACATTTATTATTTTACTCTATTTAATGTTGTTGTTATATTTATTATTTTACTCTATTATTATTATATTTATTATTTTACTCTATTTATTATTATTGTTACAATATACCATCTGACACATGTTGTGTTTCCTTTCTCCATTGTTTAGGATGGTCTTGCCTTCTTCCAGTCCGCTTTGGGGCAAGATGCGCCTGGATGTCAAGTCTCACCTTGGCTGCACCATCCAGGTAAAAAGAAACAAGTGTAGCCCTGACCTTGGGATACACTGGAATGTCTGAATCGAAGCACCTTGATTTGTGATCGATCAGCATACCAGAATTTGACATTCATGTGAAAGCCAGCTGTTTTAGCCTAGGTATGGAGGCTGTTTATAGCCTAGGAAGGCCCTGGGAAGGTGCTGGGACTGGCAACCACATCCTGTACAAGTTTATAGTCCTCATCAAGGAAATAGATCGGCAGATTAGTGAGTTGGCAGGGAAAGCCCTTCCTTCCCCCTTGGCTCCTCTCTCTGTTTTTTCCTCCTATTTCTAGTTGTTAGACTAATGAGTTGCTGTGAGTTTTCCAAGCTGTCTGGCTATGTCCCAGAAGCATTCTCTCCTGACGCTTCGCCCACATCTATGGTAGGCATCCTCAGAGGTTGTGAGGTCTGTTGGAAACTATCCAAGTGGGGTTTATATATCTGTGGAATGATGTGGGAGAAAGAACTCTTGTCTAGGTTCTTGTGGGTTTTTTCGGGCTATAGAGCCATGTTCTAGAGCCGTGATGGTGAACCTATGACACGCGTGTCAGTACTGACACACGTAGCCATTTCTACTGACACGCGCCCGCCGGATATTATTTGTTTATTTATTTTATGCCATTTTAAAAAATAAATAGGAAAGAAATTATTATTTTGCAATGTTACCTAAATATTAAGGAGTTTCATATTTAAACTGAATGATAAATACTATTACTTTGCTATATTATTCAAATATTAAAATGCATTAAATTAAATGTCAAATTTAAAAATATTTAATTATTAATATTTAGGTAACATTGCAAAATAATATTGGTTTATTTAATTATTAAGTAAATGAATATTATTTTGCATTGTTTCCTATGCAAAATAGGAAACAATGCAAGTTAAATTAAATGATAAATAATAATTATATTTTTATTAAACACTCCAAAAAGGATATTATTTACATAAAGAGAGGTAGAACAACATGATAAGAGAGAAAGTGGGAATTACAATTATATATTTTTTGTTATTTAAACTAAATATTGCGAAACTATGGTTTTTTTTCTTGAAGTGACACACCACCTGAATTATGCTCAGTTTTTTGGCGAATTTTGACACACCACGCTCAAAAGGTTGCCCATCACTGTTCTAGAGGCATTTCTCCTGACGTTTCGCCTCTGAGGATGCTTGCCATAGATGCAGGCGAAACGTCAGGAGAAATGCCTCTAGAACATGGCTCTATAGCCCGAAAAAACCCACAAGAACCTAGTGATTCCAGCCATGAAAGCCTTCGACAATACATTGAACTCTTGTCTGCTTGAGGCAAATGTGAATGTTGCAATTGGCCACCTTGATTATCATTGAATGGCCTGGCAGCTTCAAAGCCTGGCTGGTTGCTTCCTGGGGGAATAATAATAATATAATACTAATATAATAATCATAATACTGTATATATAAGCTATTTTAAATTGTAAGTCGCTCGGAGCACTTTGGTGGAGAGCGACTAGTTAAGAAATAAAGTGATGATGATGATGATGATGATGATGATGATGATATATTCGAATATAAGCCGATCCAAATATAAGACGAGGCACCTAATTTTACCACAAAAAACTGGGAAAACCTATTGACTCGAGTATAAGCTGAGGGTGGGAAATGCAGCCACTACAGGTAAATTTCAAAATAAAAATAGATACTAATAAAATTACATTAATTGAGGCATCAGGAGGTGAAATATTTTTGAATATTTACATAAAACTGTAATTAGAGATAAGACTGCCCAACTCTCATTAAATCATTATTCTAACTTTCTTCAATCTAAATGCACTTACATATCCTTCCAACAATAATAAAGAGAGTAAAATAATAAATGTAATAATAATAATAATAAAGTAAAATAATGGAAATGCTATAATAAATGTAATAATAGAGTAAAATAATAAATGTAATAATAATAAAGAGTAAAATAATAAATGTAATAATAATAAATAGTGTAAAATAATAACTGTAATAATAATAATAAAGTAAAATAATGGAAATGCTATAATAAATGTAATAATAGAGTAAAATAATAAATGTAATAATAATGAAGAGTAAAATAATAAATGTAATAACAATAATATTAATAAAGTAAAATAATGGAAATGCAATAATAAATGTAATAATAGAGTAAAATAATAAATGTAATAATAATCATAAAGAGAGTAAAATAATAAATATAATAATAATAAAGTAAAATAATAAATGTAATAATAATAATAAATAGTGTAAAGTAATAAATGTAATAATAATAATAATAGGGCAAAATACTGTAAATGTAATAATAATAGAGTAAAATAATACATGAAATAAAACTAACATACTAATAGTAGAGTAAAATAAATGTAATAAAATAATAATAGAGTAAAATAATGTAAATGTAATAATACCAATAATAGAGTAAAATAATAAATGTAATAATAACAATAATAATAAAGTAACATAATAAATGTTATAATAATAGAGTAAAATAAATGTAATAAAATAATAATAGAGTAAAATAATAAATGTAATAATAATAATAAATAGAGTAAAATAAATGTAATAAAATAATAGAGTGAAATAATGTAAATGTAATAAAACTGATAATAAAGTAAAATAATAAATGTAATAAAAATAATACTAATAACAGAGTAAAATAAGAAATAACCTTGACTCGAATATAAGCCGAGGGCAGCTTTTTCAGCCTAAAAAGGGGGCTGAAAAATTAGACTCATACTCGAGTATATACAGTAATAATAATAATAATAATAATAATAATAATCTTTATTTGTACCCCGCTAACATCTCCCCAAGAGACTCGGTGTGGCTTACATGAGGCCAAGCCTCATATACATCCATAAACAAATACAATTCATATAAATCACTTAAACAAAAATAAGCAATAAGCAATCAACAGTGACATACAAGCATTTAAAAACCAATGACCGGGCCAAATGTAATAGAATAAAATTAAAACAATGCTGACGTGACGTGAATATTTTCAGAGAGAAGTGAGGGAACGCAGTCAGTCCTAAATCAATTGTAAAGTGCATTTTGAGGGCATATTGCTGAGTTTTCCTTATTCTGTGAGGTGTTAGTTGGATCTGATTTATTTGTCTGAAATTCTGATTGTTGCTCTTTATTTACTCTCCTGATTTTAGAGTTTTTTAAAATATTGGTATAGAGATTTTGTTCATTTTCATGGTTTCCTCCTTTCTGTTGACGTTGTCCACATGCTTGTGGATTTCAGCGGCTTCTCTGTGTCGTCTGACATGGTGGTTGTGAGGGTGGTCCAGCATTTTTTTGTTCTCCAATTATAGTTCTTTCAATAAAGACTTTTGTAACTTTTCAAGCTTCTGATCTCCTCAAACTGCTGCGTTTTCCTTTTTTGAAATTACCCATCAAGAAGGGCCTTTCTGAGGATTGGAAGGGCCCAAGCAACCCGATATGGGAAGTTACAGTCCATCCGTTCGCTTGTACATAAGCCACATCAGGTTGAGCATATGTGTGTTACTGTGTCACATACCAGTGTCAGATCAGATTACAAGGTCTTGAGCTGCTTGGCTCTGACCCAGATTGTAAAGATTTGCTAATTCTGCTCTTTTGCAGCTCCTCTCCTGTTTAACGGAAGCGTCTGTAGGAGCCGCTGTTCTCCAGCATGTCAATGCCATTGTGCCTTATTACCTGACTTTCCCAAAGCAGTGCAGAATGCTGCTCAAGGTGAGTTTGCGAACCTTTATAGCCTGGCATTTAATTCAGTAAGATCAGTAAGTTTGTTCAGTTTACAAACACACTTGTATATACTCAAAGATAAGCCCTTTTTAGAGCTGAAAAAGCCACCGTTGGCTTATAATGTGTTCAAGGCCGAGCATCGGCCTTGAACCCATATTTCTCTCTCCTCTTCCCCTCCCTAAACATTGTGTTTTCTTTTTTGCTTCTGCTCTGCTTCTCCTCCCAGGTTGGAATGTTTTGAAAAGGGAAAGGAGGGAGAGAGAAGCTCTTACAATATATGATCTATTTTTCTCTCCTCTTCCCCTCCCTAAACAGTGTTTTTCCTTTTCTGCTTCTGCTCTGCTTCTCCTCCCAGTCTGGAATCTTTTGAAAAGGGAAAGGAGAGAGAGAGAAGCCCTTGCAAGGCATGATATTTCTCTCTCCTCTTCCCCTCCCTAAACAGTGTGTTTTCTTTTCTGCTTCTGTTCTTCTCCTCCTTCTCCCAGGCTGGAATGTTTTGAAAAGAGAAAGGAGGGAGAGAGAAGCCCTTACAATCTATTTTTCTCTGCTCTTCCCCTCCCTAAACAGTGTTTTTCCTTTTCTGCTTCTGCTCTGCTTCTCCTCCCAGTCTGAAATGTTTTGAAAAGGGAAAGGAGGGGGAGAGACTCCCTTGCAATCTATGTTATATTTTTCTGTCCTCTTCCCCTCCCTAAACAGTGTGTTTTCTTTTCTGCTTCTGCTCTGCTTCTCCTCCCAGACTGGAACATTTTGAAAAGGGAAAGGAGGGGGAGAGAAGCCCTTGCAGTATATGATTGATTTCTCTCTCCTCTTCCCCTCCCTAAACAGTGTGTTTCCTTTTCTGCTTCTGCTCTGCTTCTCCTCCCAGGCTGGAATGTTTTGAAAAAGGGAAAGGAGGGGAAGAAGTGCCCTTGCAAGTCAGGAATATCCATTCATCTTATCAAAGCATTTCCCCCGGAAATATTTGTTAATCTGGACCCCTCATATGTTTGCAGGTCTTTGCAAATCCTCTCTCTCTCTCTCTCTCTCTCTCTCTATATATATATATATATGTAGATAGGTATATAGATAGAGACATCCATAAAACCTGTATAGCTGTAGCTCTATGTATACATTATTTTTATATAGGAATTATATATTTATCTATATATAGAGAGATGCCTAGATAGCTATCTATATAAATAAAAATGTAATGTTCGTTTGTGGGATTAACAGAACTCAAAACCACTGGGCGAATTGACGCCAAACTTGGACACAATACACCTATCAGGCCAACAAGTGACCATCACTCATAAAAACACTGAAAAACACAGCAGAAGGGACTTAAAAGCCCCCCAAAAAAACAAAAAACCCAACAACATTACAACGCACGTGCAAAACCAAATATATATACACAAACACACATATATGCATATACACACACAAAACACATACACAGAAAGGAGGAAGGAAGGAAGGAAGAGAAGGAGGGAAGGAAGGAAAGAAAGAAAGGTAGAGAAGGAGGGAGAGAAAGAAGGAAGGAGAGAAAGAAGGAAAGAAAGGTAGAGAAGCAAGGAGGGAGAGAAGGGAAAGGAGAGAAGGAAGGGAAAAAAGGGTAGAGAAGGAAGGGAGGAGAGAAAGGAGGGATGGAGAGAAAGAAGGAAAGAAAGAAAGAAGGAGGGAGGGAGATAAAGAGGGAGAGAAGAAGGGAAGGAGATAAAAAAGAAAAGAAGGGTAGAGAAGGAAGGAAGGACAGAAGGAAGGAGAGAAAGAGGGAAGGAGAGAAGGAAGGAAAAAATGGGTAGAGAAGGAGGGAGAGAAAGAGGGAAGGAGAGAAGGAAGGAAAGAAGTAGATAAGGAAGGAGGGAGAGATGAAGGGAAAGAAAGAAGGAAAAAAGAAGGGTAGAGAAGGAAGGAAGGAGAGGAGGGAGAGGAAGAAGGAAGGAAAGAAAAGTAGATAAGGAAGGAGGGAGAGAAGAAGGGAAAAAAGAAGGGGAGAAGGAAGGAGGAGAGAAAGAAGGAGGGAAGAGGGAAAGAGAAAGAAGGAAGGAAAGAAAGAAGGGTAGAGAAGGAAGGAAGGAGAGGAGAGAGAGGAAGAAGGAAGGAAAGAAAGTAGAAAGGAAGGAGGAGAGAAGAAGGGAAAAAAGAAGGGAGAGAAGGAAGGAGAGAGAAGAAGGGAGAGGAAGAGGGAAAGAGAAAGAAGGAAGGAAGGAAAGAAGGGTAGAGAAGGAGGGAAGGAGATAAAAAAGGAAAGAAGGGTAGAGAAGGAAGAAGAGAAGGAGGGAGAGAATGAAATAAAAAAAGTCAAAGAGGGAAGGAAGGAGAGAAGGAACAAAAGAGAGAAAGGGAAGGAAGGAAGGATGGAACCAAAGAGAAAGGAAGCGAGTAAAGAAACAGGTAGAGAAGGAGAAGAAGAGAAAGAAAAAGAGGGAAGGAAGGAGATAAAGAAAGAAAGGAGAGAAAGAGGGAGGGAAGGTTGGCCACAGCAGTGCGTGGCGGTTACAGCTAGTCTATGAATATAGATATATAGGGTTTGCAAATGTTGCAGGGGAAATGCACTCATAAATATACAAATAGCCATGTCTAGCTAGACCTTTTCCTTTTTCTGTGGTGATTCCCCAGCAAGCCATTCGGCTCTGGAGCACGGGCGAAGAAACTGTTCGGGTGCTTGCCTTCCTGGTTCTCAACAAAATCTGTCGGCACAAAAAGGACGTCTACTTGAACCCAATCCTTAAGGTAAGGCCGTGTTGGAAAGCCAGGTGAGATTTTAAAAACTGATGCATGACTTGTTTTAACTCCAGCAGAACGAAATAAATCTCTGGGTTGCTGTGAGTGCACTAGTGCAAGCGTACAAGGCTTCAAGGGAGCAGCCTCTGAGCCTCGTGCCTCTGCCTGGATGTCTCGTTTTCTTGTCTGGTCGTGTTCCAGAAGCATTCTCTCTTGCGCTGTCTGACCATGTTCCAGAAGCACTCTCTCCTGACGTTTCGCCCACATCTATGGCGGGCATCCTCCAAGGTTGTGAGGTCTGTTGGAAACTAGGCAAGTGGGGTTTATATATCTGTGGCATGATGTCCAGGGTGGGGGAAAGAACTCTTGTCTGCTGGAGGCAAGTGGGAATGTTGCCATTGGCCAGTTTGATTAGCATTGAATGGACCTTGCAGCTTCAAAGCCTGGCTGGTTGCTCCCTGCCCGGGGAAATCCTTTTTTTTGGGAGGTGATTAACTGGCACTGATTGTTTCTTGTCCTGTTGTTTTGAGTGTTACAACATGACTACACAGTCTGGAAAACTCACAGCAACCCAGTGATTATGGCTATGAAAACCTTCAACAGTATATTCAAAGGCAGATTTTTTTTCATCGCGTAATAGTCATTGAACAGCCCAGAAAAACTCACAACAACGCAGAGATTCTGACCACGAAAGCCTTTGACAATACATTAAAAGGAAGATTTTTTTTCATCGCATAATAGTCGCACCCCCTTTTCATTGGTCAAAAAAGCGGTTATAAAAAGTGCAACTATTATGTGAGGAACTGCAGTATTTTCCTCCCAAACTTGCTATCATGAGGAATAGAACCCAGTCCTCTGTTTGGTATATAAAACCCTTCCTTACATAGTTTCCAACTGACCTCACAACCTCCGAGTATGCCTGCCATAGATGTGGGTGAAACATCAGGAGAGAATGCTTCTGAAACATGGCCAGGCAGCCCGGAAAAACTCACAACAACCCAGTGATTCTGGCCATGAAAGCCTTTGACAATACATTAAAAGGAAGATTTTTTTCATCACGTAATAGTCATTGGTCAAAAAAGGGGTTATAAAAAGTGCAACTATTATGTGATGAACTGCAGTATTTTCCTCCCAAACTTGCTATCATGAGGAATAGATCCCAATCATCTGTTTGGTATATAACCCCCACCCCTCTACCTAGTTTCCAACTGACCTCACAACCTCCGAGTATGCCTGCCATAGATGTGGGCGAAATATCAGGAGAGAATGCTTCTGAAACATGGCCAGGCAGCCTGGAAAAACTCACAACCCAGTGATTCCGGCCACAAAACCCTTTGACAATACATGAAAAGGCAGATTTTTTTTCATCGCATAATAGTCGCATCTCCTTTTTATCGGTCAAAAAAGGGGTTGTAAAAAGTGCAACTATTATGTGACGAAATGCAGTATTTTCTTCATGAGGAAAGTGTGAATGTTGCAATTGGCACCTTGATTAGCATTGAATGACCTTGCAGCTTCAAAGCCTGGCTGCTTTCTGCCTGGGGGGATCCTTTGTTGGGAGGTGTTAGCTGGCCCTGATTAATTCTTGTCTGGAATTCCCCTGTTTTCTGAGTATTGGTCTTTATTTTAGAGGGTTTTTTTAAAAAATACTGGTAGCCAGATTTAGTTCATTCTCATGATTTCCTCCTAAATCTCATTGTTTGTATTTTTTTCTCTCTTTTCGCCCATTTTAGCAAATGTATATTTCCTATGTGAAAAACTCCAGATTCACCTCTCCAAACGTCCTTCCCATGATCAACTTCATGCAGCGGACTTTGACGGAGATGTACGCGCTGGACACGTCCATCTCCTACCAGCACGCCTTCATCTATATACGCCAGTTGGCTATTCACCTGCGCAGCGCCATGACCGTGAAGAAAAAGGTGAGTTCGGGTGCCAGAATGGGCTCATTTATTTATTATTTATTTACCCGCCCGTCTCACCCCGAAGTTATACGTAAATACAATATATTATATTATTAGGATAGCACAATATTAGTATTATATATTTCTATATTATACGATACCACTAGACTGCAATATTATTAGTAATATTACATGTAATATATAATATACAATTATATTATTATATTGTATTGATATTAGCATTCTATTACAATATTATGATCAATATTATATGTACATACAATATATTATATTATTAGCGAAGCACAATATTAGTATTATATTTTTCTGTATTGTATTATATGAATAAATATTAAATAAATATTAAATAAATATTAGTAATATTACATGCAATATATAATAATTATTATATTGTATTATTAGTACTATATTGTATTGCATGATTATGATCAATATTATATGCCCATTCAATATATTATATTATTAGCAAAGCACAATATTAGTATTCTATATTTCTGTATTGTATTATACCACAATACTGTAATATTAGTAATATTATATGCAATATATAATAATTATATTATTATATTGTATTACTAGTATTACATTGTATTGCAATATTATGATCAATATTATATGTACATACAATATATTATTAGCAAAGCACAATATTAGTATTATATATTTCTGTATTGTATTATACCACAATACTGTACTATTAGTAATATTACATGCAATATATAATAATTATATTATTATATTGTATTACTAGTATTACATTGTATTGCAATATTATGATCAATATTATATGTACATACAATATATTATTAGCAAAGCACAATATTAGTATTATATTTTTCTGTATTGTATTATACCACAATACTGTAATATTAGTAATATTATATGCAATATATAATAATTATATTATTATATTGTATTACTAGTATTACATTGTATTGCAATATTATGATCAATATTATATGTACATACAATATATTATTAGCAAAGCACAATATTAGTATTATATTTTTCTGTATTGTATTATACCACAATACTGTAATATTAGTAATATTACATGCAATATATAATAATTATATTATTATATTGTATTATTAGTATTATATTGTATTGCAAGATTATGATCAATATTATATGCCCATTCAATATATTATATTATTAGCAAATTATAATATTAGTATTCTATATTTCTGTATTGTATTATACCACAATACTGTACTATTAGTAATATTACATGCAATATGTAATAATTATATTATTATATTGTATTATTAGTATTATATTATATTGCAATATTATGATCAATATTATATGTCCATTCAATATTTTATATTATTAGCATAGCACAATATTAGTATTATATATTACGACATTGTTCTATACTATTATACTGTGATATTATTAGTAATATTACATGCAATAGATAATATGCAATTATAATATTGTATTATTATTAGTATTATATTTAATTATATTAGTATTGTATTATATTATAGTTGGATCCTCTGTGTTCAGAACCAGTATAGAGTACAATCTCTGTATCCGCAGTAGTGGACTTACAAGCATCCTTACTTATGAGCTTTTCGAGTTCCGAGCGACAGGCCCTATGTTTGTTTACAAGCAACATTTTAACATGTAAGCAGCCAGAGACCGCTCTAATTCAAGAGTACAGGGCTTCAAGGGAGCAGCCTCTGAGCCTCGTGTCTCTGCCTGCGTGTCTCTGCCTGCGTGTCTGCGGTGACGTGTTCTGTGTGCTTTTTGTTGTGTCTGCGTTTGGATTTCTAGTTGTGGGGAATAGGAGATGGCGTCCTCCCCCATTCCTACACAACTTGTCTCTGTTGGCACCTGATTTTCCTGACCTATCATTGGCTGACTATCAAAGAAGGGGTCGCTGCATTAAGAACATTGAGAACCATCAGTTTATGAGCAATATTTTAGCCTACAAGCAGCCAAGGGGCACACTAGTGCAAGAGTCAAAGGTTTCAAGGGAGCAGCTTCTGAGCCTCGTGCTTCTGCCTGCATGCCTCATGCTCCTGATATGTTTGACGACATGAAGAGAGTGTGCAAGYGTCGAGGGTTTCAAGGGAGCAGCCTCTGAGCCTCGTGCCTCTGCCTGCATGCCTCATGCTCCTGGTATGTTTGACTACATGAAGAGAGAGTGTTTGTGTGCAAGAGTCGAGGGTTTCAAGGGAGCAGCCTCTGAGCCTTGTACCTCTGCCTGCGTGCCTCATGCTCCTGGTATGTTTGACTACATGAAGAGAGAGTGTTTGTGTGCAAGAGTCGAGGGTTTCAAGGGAGCAGCCTCTGAGCCTTGTACCTCTGCCTGCGTGCCTCTACCTGCATGCCCCGTTCTCTTGTCTGCTCTGGGAGACTTCTGTGTGCTTTCCTCTTGTCCACTTTGAGAGATTCCTGGTATGTTTGACCACATGAAGAGAGAGTGTGTGCAAGAGTCGAGCTTTTCAAGGGAGTAGCCTCTGAGCCTTGTGTCTCTGCCTGCATGCCTCATGCTCCTGGTATATTTGACTACATGAGCAGAGAGTGTTCGTGTGTCAAGCGTTTGAAGGGAGCAGCCTCTGCCTGCGTACCTCTGCCTGCATGCCTCGTGCTCTTGTCTGCTCTGGGAGATTTCTGTGTGCTTTCCTTTTGTCCACTTTGAGAGATTCCTGGTATGTTTGACTACATGAAGAGAGAGAAGGAGAGAGTATTTGTGTGCCACTCTTCTTGACGTCTCAGAAGAGAGGTGGCGACGTGTTCAGTGTGGATTTCTAGTTGCGGGGAATAGGAGGATATGGCGTCCTCCCCCATTCCTGCACAACTTGTCTCTGTTGGCATCTGACTTTCCTGACCTATCTTTGGCTGATTATCGAAGATTGCATCTTATCGTATTACGGAAAGATGATTAGACCGTCTCCCCGTTTTCTTTCCGGCAACCTGTCACTTGCTCCCTTTTTGCTGCGCGGAGGGGGTCGGACTTCTCATTGTTGTTATCAGTTCACTTGTTTGGGTTGTGATTGGGTCTCTTCCCGTCTGACGTGGGCTTAATCCCAGACTAATTGCTAATCTCCTCCTTTATTGCTGTGTAAAGAAAACAACCCCGGCGCAGCTTAGTTGGTTTGGTGACACTTCTCATCCCGCCGCCTTAAGCCCCCTTCCCTCCGAAAGATGCTCAGACTGCAGATAAGCCCCGGAGGAGAGATAACCCAACGTGTCTAGGGCCTTAATTGGATCAGCTTGGCTTCTCCCAACCTCAGCCCTGGGCCAGACGGGAGGCCAATCGAGTTAGCTCCGCCACAGGAGAAGCGGTTCAGGGCGAGGTGGCTCCCGATTAGATCCTCTCCGCCCCAGCCGACATAAATCTCACCATCAGGATAATGCCGTCGCTTATTGCCGAGGTGGTAAATAGGCAAAGTGGAGTGGGTGCTAAAGCAACACAGGCTTTCAGGTGTACGCAAACTTTGTCTTGCGCACAAAATTATTAAAAACTTACCTGGACCGCATGATGCATCTTGAGCAACCTTCCCCAGCATAACAAACTTTTAAGTACTGATGGATTTTTTCGGGGTTAACCTACCATGATGGGAGTTGTAGTTCATCCAAAACCTTGCCGGAAGGCGGGACCGTGGCCCAGCCGAGGGAGACTTCGCTCTCGGCCCTCGGCTGGGTTGCGGCATTGGGGGCGGGGCCTAAGGAGGCAGCCTCGCGACCCCTCCAAAATGGCCGAACAACCCCCCCTGGGGGTTGCGACCTCCAGGTTGAGAACCGCTGTTCTAAACTATTCTAAAGTACTTATTTATTTATTTGGAGTGCTTCTACCCCGCCCTTCTCAACCCCCTAGGGGGGGGGGACTCAGGGCGGCTTACAAAAGGCACAATTCGATGCCTGACAATTCATAAAATACAACATACAAATTACAATATATCTTCAACAATTATAACTAATTAAAACAATCAAACACTACAGTTGCAGCAATAAAATCATATTGTGGCCAATGTTAGTTGATTCATAAGTCCATGATCTGTCTAGCATCGTCATAGTCCTTTCCTACTCTGGTCGTCATTGTCTTTTGTCCAACTGCCAGCTTACCCGAAGGCCTGGTCCCACCTCCATGTTTTTAACTTCCTTCTGAAGGAGAGGAAGAGTGATGTTGATGACCTAATCTCCCTCTGGAGTGCATTCCACAGGCAAGGGGCCACCACTGAGAAGGCCCTGTCCCTCGTCTCCACCAGTCTCGCTTGTGATAAAGGTGGAGCCGAGAGCAGGGCCCCCTCAGCAGATCTTAAATTCCGAGGTGGGACGTAGAAGGAGATACGTTCCGACAGGTATACTGGGCCGGAGTCGTATAGGGTTTTGTAGGTCAAAACCAGCACTTTGAATTGTGCTCGGAACTGGGTTGGCAGCCAGTGGAGCTGACATAGCAGGGGGGTGGTATGCTCCCTGTATGATGCTCCGGTGAGTAATCTAGCTGCCGTCTCGTTGGACTAATTGAAGTTTCCGAACAGTCTTCAAAGGCAACCCCACGTAGAGCGCGTTGCAGTAATCTATTCGGGATGTAACAAGAGCGTGGACCACTGTGGCCAGATCCGACTTCCCAAGGTACGGGCACAGCTGGCGCACAAGACTAAAGTTCTGGTGGTGAAAACTAGGGGGCGCTGGTGCTTTGCTTCTACAGTGTTGCTAAAGTTCTGGTGGTGAAAATTTCAGAACTCTAACAAAACTTTCAAAATTTCATTATTATGTCATTATTGGTGATTTTGATGACAGAACCAATTAGGAACTGCCGTTTATAATGAAATAGTACAATATCAGTATTAAATATTACTATCTTGTACTATACCATTATATTGTTATATTATTAATAAACTTGCCCAGCGTAGCAAACTTTTAAGTCCTGATGGAGTTTGCCGGGGTTAGTTAACCTGTCATGATGGGAGTTGTAGTTCATCCAAAACCTTACTATTTATTTACTTATTTATTTATGACATTTATATTCCGTTCTTCTC